GAATGGACAGGAATACACAATACAGGTAAGCTGTGTCACGCCGCCAAGAACAGAATTCTAGTAATGAGATAGTCGCCCACGCACTTTGGTGTATGGCATGTTAAGAAGAAGAAGATTATTCTTTCCAGTATCAGATTAAAAAGAGTCGTTAGTAGTGGCTCTCCTTGTCATAATCCTTCCTTTGTTTCCAAATTGTTTGATTTATGACCCTTCCATGCTATTTCGTTTGTTGTGTTATTCATAGTCATTTTCACCATCGTGACGATTTTGCTTGGTAGGCCCAACTCTTTCGTTAGTTCGTACATCTGTTATCTCTTTTACCCAATATCTTTTCCGTGTATTGATTTTGCCTTTTCCTTATGATTTGTGTCAAGATTTTGTAAACTAATTCTAGTAATGCCATGCCTCTCTACTTTCACATCTTATTTCATCACCTTTTTGTGTATTGTGCATATTCTTTGTATAACCCAGTCTCTTGGGTTTCAGTCTCCCGTTTCCAATATGCTTTTTATCAGATTGAAATTTTTATCTTTTACTTAAATTTTTCATCAATATGGCCAAAATAACGTAACTAACCAGGACGTTATATTAAAAATGCAAAAAGGAAAAGAGTTGTTAACCATAATATGGTACCTAAAAGTACCCTTAAAATGTGTTACTTTTCATTGTTTCATAGTTCATATACAATATGAAATAGCTGTTTGGGGCAACTCTGGTCATGCCGACAGAATATTTAAATTACAAAAGAAGGTGGTGAGGATACTTGCTGGAGCGGATTTAAGGGATCATTGTAAACCATTATTTTTGAACATGGGTATTATGCCTCTACCTTCGCTTTATATGTATGCAACACTGTTGGAAATTCACGATAATAAAAATAAGTTAACTATTAACTCCCAATTATATGATCATCTAACAAGATCGAGGGATTTAATTAGGTCACAACGATTCAGACTATCAAAGAGCACAAAGAATTCAATTGATATTCACTTGTATAACTATCTGCCTAACGAAATAAAAATTCTGTCTCCACCACTGTTTAAAAATAGGATCAGAAAGCATTTTTTAACATATTGTTTTTACTCAAAGACAGAATACCTCAATACACCTTTGTAACGTGTACCCAGTTTGGTCAGAATACTGTCGATTTACTATCTACATATCACATTGTATTATTGCTATTAAAATGTAAAAAGTTTTATGTATTAGTTTATTTAGTCATCGATTCGGGAATATTCTTAATTATTTGTACATTTTTGTTACTTCCATATTTCAAAGATTTTTTATGTGACAGTTTAGGTTTGTTTTTTTTTTTGGTTAGAGATCTTTTTTATCTTATATTTTTAATTTTAATTCTTCTGCTAATACTTACATATGTATATTACTTTAGCCAATATGGTCAAGTTAATTTTAAGTTTACATTATTATATCTTTTATTGTATTTTTTATACGGACTTCAAACTTTATGTAAAGTGGTCAATAAACGTTCTATCTATCTATCTATCTATCTATCTATCTATCTATATATCAATAGAAACAGCCAAAATTGAATACCTGGTTACATCATGAGGAACGGCGAAAGATATGGGTTGCTGCATTCTTCAAGAAAAAGTAGAAGGCAAACGAGGACCAGGAAGACGAAGATTTCCTTCGTACGTAAAAAATCTACATACATGATTCAACACAACAACCACAAATCTTTTCAGAGCCGCAGTTTGCAAAATACACATTGCCATGATGGTTGCTAACATCCAAAACGGATAGGCACTACATGAAGAATATGGCCAAAACAGTAAAGACTTTTCCTTTAAAAGACCAAATTTAAATTAAATCCCGATTGTTTCAAATAGTTAACAGCGTGGAGATGAGATTTGCGACAACTCCAATCAATCCTGATTGATATGGCATCTGCTTCAAGTCAAAGAGAGAGTTTCAAATGGAATGCTTCCGGCACCTATTTGTTTAAATACAATAATGTTTACTTCGCCTGCTATGAACAGAGTCACAACCATTCACGAAATGATGTCTTCCACACCTTATGTGAGTAAAGTTCACTATACATATGATGCCTCCACTGTTTCCAATAATTCCTCAACCATCCCCACCAGCCGTGCATTAAACTAACGAAATGCCGCCCTCACCCATGGATGTCTTCACGTGTCAATAGCGAAACTCTGCGTATGCTGTGCTTTCACGAAAATGTTAAAAATACGGAACGTTTACATTCACTGGATCCAAATACGCAGATTCTAGATCAATATTTACATTTTAAATAAAAACTGCATCTAATGTTTCACACAGCAAGCCTTTCTTCTGGTCCTACAACCTCCCTGTATGTAGTATTCTGTTTCAGTAAATATAGTTTTAGGATGTCAACAAGAAAAGTCTTCTCATTAAAGTAGATACAAACGACTTGTTATGAAGGTAAAGTTCCCCTGCATGTTTTGTTGGTGGATTTTAGACAAGCATATGATAGAGTCGATAGAGTCAAAATGTACCGAGCAATACAACATTTGGGTATACCAAAGAAACTGATCCGGCTAGTTAAAATGACACTTAATAACTCTACGTGTGAAATTGCTTGGCAGGGTCACATATCAGATCAATTTACGGTTGCAAAAGGCTTGAGACAGGGAGATCCTTTATCCACTACATTATTCAACTTAGCGTATTTAGAAAATGCAGCAAGAAGGTGGAAGAAACGATCATGAAAAATGAGCACCAGTGCTTGGCATTTTCTGACGATCTAACGATCCTAGCAAAAACCGAGAAAGAATTAAGAAGAGTTGTGAAGAAAATCATCGAAGAAGCACAGAAATTCGGATTGGAACTAAATGAAGACAAAACCAAATATATGATCATAGGAGGGACAGAAGGGAAAAAAGAAGACTTTAGTGTGAGGTCAGTAAGAGGTAAAAGCTATAGTTTTAAAAGGGTGGACAAATTTGAATACCTGGGTGTAGTTTTCGATGAAAATGGAAAAGAGAAATGGGAGCTCGAAGCTAGAATAGCAAAAGGGAATAAAAAATTAGGTAGTTTAAGACCCTTCTGAACTCAAAATACGTTTCAAGACAAGGTAAACTCAGAATATATAAAACAGTAATTCGACCAACAGTAACATATGCCGGTGAGACATGGACATTAAATAAGAAGGAAGAGGATACTCTGGAAAGATGGGAAAGGAAAATATTGAGACGCATGTTCGAAGGACGGAAGACAGATGGTTGGGAGAGAAGAACCAACAATGAATTAATGGCTTTATACAAATAACCTACTATTACCAAGTTCGTCAAGGCACAAAGAATCAGATGGTTGGGACATGTGGAAAGAATGGCAGCAAACAAAATGCCTAAACTAGTAATAACCAGAAAATTAATCGGCCTCAAAAGAAGAGGTAGACCCAGAACGAGGTGGATTAGTAAAGCGGAGGAAGACCTTAAACACGTGAAGGTGAGGGACTGGAAAATAAAAGCACAATATAGAAACGAATGGAGAAATATTGTACACCAGGTCCTTCAGAGTAGTTAAGAATGTTATATATATACATATTTAAGTTAAAGTTTTGTTTAAAATAATTGTAATTAGTTAATATTACGATTATGTTGTAAAAAAAATGCCCTAGGCCTTAACGGCCTGTTGTGCGTAAAAATAAAATAAACAAGAAAAGTGAATTTAGCTTGAGACATACGAAAATAATGGAAGAACTTGATGTCAACGTTTAACAAAACAGTAAATAGTATGTGATATTCTCCATGTTTCGATATCTTCTTGAATATGTAGTGTATCCAAAAATTATGCTAAATTTTTCTATTTTTTTTCTTGTTATTCCTCTTCTGCTAACAAACAAGCAATAACGACTTGTTCTTCATCGCTTTCCTCCATTCTCACAAACACTTTCCGCAGGTACATCACTACAAAAATTCAAAAGAAAGTGGCATCAGCAATCCAATTGCTGATGCTGATGATTACCAATTCGATTTTCTCACACGAATTTCAATTAAAAGCAGCAGAGCCATTTATGATTTTATACTCCTGCGTTTCAAAATGTGGCTCAAACCATATACCTTCTCACTACGATGTGAGTCCACCAGTCCGCTGAGCCATTAAGTCGACAGTAGCACAGGGTAGTAATAGACAAAAATAGTCGCGAAAAATTTATTCATCGGTTTCAGTTAGAACTAATACCTGAAAATGTTTAAGACACCTACTTCTTGCATCAGGGTGACGGCATTATATATTATTTATTGTGATTTAAGTAAACAACTAAACGTAGGGAAATCAAATAGGAAGATAAAAAAAACACCATTTAATGTTACCATTAAAGTCTTACAAAATATTCCGTTTAGTTTTTAAGCACATGCAAAAGAACAAGAAATATCCGTCCTAATTCACGGCTCGTGGTATGATAGTATAATAATATCCTAATTAGTAATGTCATAACAGACTCGGTTAAAAAGGCACAACTCAAATTTTGCAAAAATGACACCAAAAGCGAAAAGAATAGCAAAGATACAAAAAGGAAGAATAAAAATACAACGAATCCTAAGCGAGAAAGACAAGAGAAACAAAGTTCAATATAGAAAATTAAATAAAATAATTTCAGCAGAAATTTCGACCAGCATTTTATTTCGTATAACAAAACGTCTTCTAAATTCATTTTGACTGTTGATTTTTTTTCATATTTCTTTGGGATAGTTCTCCGAAAAGAGAGTTAGAGATACCTCGAAATAGGACGGAATACAACGACGATCAAGCCAAAGAAAAAATACCTGAATATTGGAACCTTGAATGTGTTAAGCCGGCTCAGGCCTGCAGCAACACCAAAAACAATATGGATCGGAAATCAAAAAATCGGCAAATCAATAGTATTTTAAATTGCGTACGAATTGACGTTTTATTCTTTTTATTAATAAAGTTTTCAGCACGGTTTTTCGATTTAAATATATATGAAAACAAAGTGTTTAGGTATTGCTATTCAAAATAATGTATACAATACCAACCTGTAAAACTTGTACTCCCCTCATTGATTGAATAACTAAATCTTTGATACCATCTCCTGTCATATCTATACATTTAATTCCCAATACGGGACCAGTCACTTTCTTTATTTCTTCTAACCACCAAACATTTTCCAAATCTCGTTTATATAGCAATATTTCCTAAAACACAAATGAATTCAAATTACACTATAGATGGAATTGGAATCTATATTGGTTTTTCTGGGAATAATCCAAAACAATTGGAATTTTAATTTTATATTTTATTGGTACTTCGACTTCAAAGAATGAACAACTTGTGTTCTTTTTATCTAAAAGACTGTCTTCTGAATGTGAAATTTTTTGGGTAAAACTTCCAGAGCACGTTACATAAACGTTATATTGGAAATAGAAAATTTAATGGATCTCAGATACGCAAACATGAGTGGGACAATGAATATAAGAGTTCTATGAAAAGATGTATCAAAAATTTTAAATGAAACGTGTGATAAAAACAGAAAAATAAAAAAATCCAAACTACGCAAAAACCAGGCAAACTACGCAGCAAACTCCCCACACAATGCAGCAAGATAAAGCGTCTTGGCTTCCATTCTTTTCATATACTTCTTCTTTTTCACGTGCCATCTCCGCTACGAAGGTTGGCTATCATCATGGCAATTTTGACCTGGAGGCTGCGCTCGGAACAATTGTATGGAAGTGCAAGCAAACCACTCCCTGAGGTTTCTCAACCATGACATTCTTCTCCTACCTATGCTGCGCCTACCTTCAATCTTTCCTTGCATAATTAGTTGTAACAGTTGATATTTATTCCCACGTGTAATATGTCCCAGGTATTGTAGTTTCCTCATTTTAACACTCAATACGACTCCTTTTGTTTGTTCATCCTGTCTAATACAACTTGGTTAGTTATCTTATCCTTCCAGGAGATTTTTAACATTCTTCGGTACGCCCACATCTCAAATGTCTCCAGCTTACCCATACATTGCTTATTTAGTGTCCACGGCCTGCACCCCATACAGCAGGACCGAGAAAAACATAACATTTAAGCATTAAGCATTAAGCATTTCAATATACAATGCTAGCCAAAAGTCCCCTTCCTTTCTTCGTATCTTTTGAACGATTATAGGTACTTATAATAGTCAAATTTGGAGTGAGGAAATAAATGGATGTAGTCTTCTCATAGTATGCTTCTTCTAGTCATAACAGGTGACGTATAGTCATAGATAACGTTACAGTGCCACTGTGACCGATAATTTAAAATGAGACCTTATGGTAAGTGATATTTCGTTTGAACGAATTCATCTGGATTATCTTCAAAAAATCTGGTTTTGCAAAATATCCAGATACACTGCACAGGTTAAGTTAGCATTGAGAAAAACAGACCCAACCATGTGGTTTCTCAAAATTCCTGCTAAACATTGACTTTTTCTGGAAATTGAGTAAGAAAGACGTGGGGATTTCTGTCACAACAATACAATAATAGGGAAAAGTACTTTCGTCACTAAAACTAATTGTTTTTATGTAATATTGGCTGTGTAATTTTTAATTTATATGGATGAAATTTATTTTTAGCAACACTCGGTGTACTGTTATTTGTCTGATTCCATAGATGGACGCAACTTGGGCTGTAAAAGAGGTAGGGTTCACTACCATTTCTCAAACCATTTCTTCATGTCAATTTTTTGTCATCACTAATTGTTGTTCGACCATATCGTTTGGCATCTTGAATACTACTTGTTTTCTTCAAACTACCGAAAAAACTCCCTCAAATAAGTTATATAATATAGGGCGATCACCTCTCATTAAAAAGACGTTCCGCTTGTTATTTTTTCGGTTACAGTACGTACCATTCTGTCTATGTAAACATTTAAAGGTTTAGTTAAACAATAATTAAACTAAATATTCAAGGTATAAACACTTTTTTTAGTGCAAGACTGGTAAATTCATTGGTGATTTTGGCCTATGGAAGAGAAATTAAAGGGGAGAAAGATCAAAACTATTTATAGAGGAAGAAGAATTAAACTAAATTAAATTAAACTAAATACGTTCTTCAAACTACCACCAAGACGTTTGTATACTTGGGTCTCTCCGCAAGATCAACCAGGAAACATAATAAGGAATCAAATTGATTTTATAATGGTTAACAAGAGATTCCGTAAGGGATGCCTATCAGTTAAAGTTACCCCGGTGCTGATATATCGTTAGATCATGTTTCTTCAACGGTAAATTTACGTTTAGATTTAAAATTATTACAAAAATAATATTAACAAAAAATGTGATATGAGAAGATAACGAAACAAAAGAGACAGTCGCACGGATTCTTTCAGAAAAGATAAGTAACATGGAGCAAACATAATCCACAATAATCACTCCAGAATATATGTAGAACCTGTAACAAGATCAAAGAAGAACATCTAATAGAAAAGAAAGAGAAGAGTAAAAGTTAAGTGAATGACAATATACTGCAATTCATGAAAAAAAGAAGAAAATCAAAGAACAACAAAAGAATGTACAAAAATATTTAGAGACAAATAAGAACCTAAGTAAGAAAGGCCAAAAAAATTGGTTTAAAAACAGTTTGAAGAGTTGTTGAAATAAATATAAGATACATTTAATATTCATAAAACGGTAAAACAAGCAATTCATCATCATCACATCAACCTGTATGCGTCCGGTTCTGGACATACGTCTCCTTCAGCTTTTTCCATCTGTCTCTGTCTTGTACGGCTTGCATCCAGTTATTGCTAACACGCTTCAGGTCGTCAATCCGTCTAGTTGGCGGGCGTCCTCTGCTCCGTATTGCTTCTTGTCTTGGTCTCCACTCGACAATACGTTTTGTCCATCGGTTGTCTGATAATCTAACGACGTGTGCTACCGAATTCCATTTTAGCGACGCGATTTTTTTGATAGCGTCTGTTGTTTTTGTTCTACGACGTATTTCTTCGTTTGGGATTCGGTCTCTCAAAGAGACACCCAACATCTGGCGCTTCATAGCCCTCAGAGTCGCGTGAATCTTATTCACTACCTTTTTGTGAGTGTTAATGTTTCCGCTCCATAAGTGAGTACAGTTAGCACACATTGGTCAACGATTTTCCATTTGAGGCAAAGCAGGTGGTCTTCAACAATCCAACACATCTAGCAACTAGCGTCTAGCCGTTGGCAGGTCAGGATACTCTTGACCAATCCAATCGCACTTGATTTTGTGTGTGGCGCGTCATTCAAATTATGTACAAGTTTGAATGTAACAGTTCTCATTTCTCATATCACGAAACGTTCTCAGATTGTTCACACAAACAAGGAGTTATGTTTAATTGTTTTAAATACACAGTTTTATTATTTTACATATTATAAATATTATCTTATTGTGAGTTGGCAACAAGTGACAAGATAGCGATCCTAATCAATTACAAATCAACCTACTGCGCAGTCGCATTGATCAATTTGTGTTATTTAGCTGAATTTGAATTTCAATTTACGCAAGTCTCGTTACGAGACCCCGTAAAAGAAAAAAAAATTAATTGCGAGTGCAAAAACTGTAAGTATTCTTAAATACCTCAAATTTACGCAAACATATTAAGAAGTTCCACACAGAATTAGTGCAAGTGGAAGTAGTGAATTACAATTTTAAATGTAGAATATGTGGTAACAATTTCAACCACAAAAAAACATTTACGTTATCATGAAAAAACTCACAAACATGTTGTAGACACTTCAACACGGAAGATAGCAAAATCAAGAAAGATTCTAAGATGTGTCCTTTATGTAATTTTCATTCAAGTTATGTTGCAGAATTGCACACTCACTTTCAAGAAAAACACGACCTAATCCTAAAAAGTGAAACACTTCAATTTTCCAATTTAGCCTCTTTTCAGGAGTGGAAATGTTCTATTGAAAGTAGTACAAAAACCAAATACGTTAAAGTAGAGAACTTTTCCGCAAAGACTCACAAAACAATGAAGTTTTTTGTGTCATCGGTCAGGCTGCTTTAATTATGAAACCAAAGAAAGAGGCACTTAAAAATGAGAGGCAGTATAAAAATGGGTGGATTTTGCCCAGCAGGTCTCACAGTTGTGGTTGATTTGGCCGAAAAAGTTGAAGTCAATTTTATAAAAACACACATTGGACATCAAACTGATATTGGACAGTTATTTCTAAGTATATCTGAACGTCAGTCTATTGCTGATATTTGATTGTGGGTATTATTTTTATTATACAAGATAACAAATAACAACAACTATGATCTATAATAATAATCAGTGACAAGCAGACACGCCCTCCCTCACCCTTTGTGTCACTGTCTCTGTCTACTGTCTTGTCACTTGTTGCCAACTCACAATAAGATAATATTTATAATATGTAAAATAATAAAACTGTGCATTCAAAACAATTAAACATAACTCCTTGTTTGTGTGAACAATCTGAGAACGTTTCGTGATATGAGAAATGAGAACTGTTACATTCAAACCTGTACATAATTTGAATGACACGCCACACATAAAATCAAGTGCGATTGGATTGGTCAGGATTATCCGGACCTGCCAACGGCTAGACGCTAGTCATCTAGCAAACTGCAAGATCAACAGGAGGAACATCATCATAGATAAAAATAAATAAATACGCATATGGAGAAAATACATAGGTACAAGAACTCTTTAACGATAATAGGTTCGAACAACCTCCGTCCTACATTTTAACCATCCTGTATATTTTTAACGTAAAAGTTTTTAAAAAAGTTTTAAGTATAAAACTGACTACTTTTTTTGTTTGTTAAATATATACTTTTGTTTTTTTTTTTAGTTTGCTTTTTGAGTTTTTAATTTATTAGTCACTAATTATACATCCAAGTGATGTTGTCTGTCAGTACTGTTTTGAACATGGACAAGTTTAAAATACTCGTAATTCTGTAAGTTTAATAATTTATAACACCGTTTTTTTTATTTATCGTAGTTTCTTCCGATGAGCGAAAACATGAAGACATAACAAAAAAAGTTTTATTTACAAATATACAACAGACCACATACTGGTAACTAAATACAAAATTATATATATATATATATATATATATATATATATATATATAATTATATTTAAATAAATACCTCTGAATTGGTTCCCACTAGAATTTCTTTTTTACCATCAAAATCGATGTCGTTAACCTCACAACATGTTAGCATACTGATACTACTCAATCTTGGTAAAGTTGAATAATTAGTAAGTCCATATTCTAACACATCACTAAAATAAAAAATCATGAATTATTAAAGAATATTTTATATTTAGTAAAATCGTTTTTTTTTTCTATAAATCAATTTTTTTTCATAAAATTGATGAAAGCCCACTTAATAAAGAAGAGTACTAGACACAAGGAAAGGAATGTGTCAAATGATGCACTACCTTATTTTTATAATTATTATCTAATGTTTTGTAGAATTTTCTCGAAAGTACATATTTAGAAACCTCTTTAGCCAAAATTTTAGCTCCCTAGGAGCCCCCAGGTGTTCCTATCACAAAATAGGTGTTTAAAAAATAATAGATCAGAACAAATTTTTAGGTTATGTAGGTAAACTTCCTAAATTATTTTATTTCTTATAGTTTTTCTGTTCTTTTGAATGGCGGGTTGAGATTTGACATTTTTCTCTCCTAAAAATCCCTAAAAAGTCTAAAAATCAAAATGCTCAATTGCATGTGAATGAAAAACGAGTTTTCATCTACTATTTTTTCCGTTTTTTCTAAAATCAGGGTCATGTTAGCCATTTTCATAATGAAAATTGGTGATTTTAAGTACAAAACCTCATTTAAATGTGACAAAGAACAATTTCTGTTTCCCGCCCCCTTTTATTCGAGTAGTGATTATCATTTAAATATTTTCTACCCAAAAACACTCGTTTTTTTTTAGATTTTTTTGATCAAAATTGAGCTGAATTTATAGGTTATGTAGGCAATTTTTGGTAAACTTCTAAATAATTTTTTTTTATTTTCTCCGTTCTTTTGAACGGCGCGATTAGGTTTGCCATTTTCTCTCTGGAATCGAGTTGAGACCGACTTAGGGATACCAAAAATCAGAAGATGGCAACACGTCGCCAGAAACGGAACAGAATGGCGACGCATTTTAGAGAAGGCCTAGATCCACAGAGGATTGTCGAGACAAATATGATGATGAATTTCTCTCCGGATTTTCCCCCATGTTTTTAGGACCTAAACTCAACTGCATGTCAATAAATAACGATTTTTGATACATTTTTTCGTTATTTCTAATAGCGGGTTCAGTTTTGCCATTTTCAGACCAGAACATACTCAAAATACGACAAACCCTCTTTGTTGTTATTTTTTACCATGTTTTTAGGATATAAACTTAACTACATATGGCTATATAAGTTTTTCATATAGATAATTTTTTATAAATATCATAGATATTTCTTCACCTTAGTTATGTCTTCCAAATTTTTTTGTCGCAATTACATTTTTACCAATTCAGGTTCTCCGGAAACATCAAGACCGAAGCAGAACTAATCTGACTTGAACAATGGCAAGTGTGCCGAAACGTCTTCAAAACAATGGTTTTTAAAGGTTATATTAGAAAAAACAGAATTTAATAAAGATACTGTGAAAAAAATTATAACGAAACCTGGAAACTTTACAATGAATCAGTCATTGATAACATCATTGAATTGTGATGATCCATCCAATATAATAGGTAGGAGTATATAGTGCTCAATTGATTAATGTCACTCCTTTTGTTCATTGCATTTGAGTTTTGTGCATTGAATGCCATTTCTAAAAAGAGTCTTTATGTGTAATTGGACTCCGTTAGCTAAATTTTTAATGAATCGTATATTCATAATATGATGTTCTTTATTTACTGTTCTGCCAGTGCAGGTCTTTCTGGGTATATCTACTGTCGCTTACGATGATGATTAGGCGATGCCTAGGTTGCGTGTGGTTTGTCAACATATACTAAATTGCAGTTGTTGCAAGGGATCTGGTAGACAGATATTATGAATTTACGATTCAGTTAAAATTTTAGTACGGAGTCCAATTACAATAAAAGATTCTTTTAGAAATGGCATTCATTGCACAAAACTCAAATGCAATGAACAAAAGGAGTGACATTAATCAATTGAGCACTATATACTCCTACCTATTATATTTGGATGGATCATCACAATTCAATATGTTTTCAATGACTGATTCATTGTAAAGTTTCCAGGTTTCGTTATATTTTTTCACAGTTTCTTTATTAAATTCTGTTTTTTCTAATAAACCTTTGTCAATAATTTGATGTGTAATAATAGTAGTACTACATAAGACAAAGAAATAAGAAGAAGTACTGTCATTTGCCATGTCCAGGAATGACAGTTACTCTTAACCTTCATTCAAACAGTTGGCCGGCACACGTGGCCGTTGTAAACTTTTTTAACTGTCTTTTTCTTATTGTAAAGTATAATTTTATTAAGTTTGGTCTTATACACCATGCAATTTTTATATGTGTTAAATATTTTAAAATTTGACTCAATCAATGAGTGGTGCGTAAAATTGTCACCTGTAAGTGAAACATCCACGAAAGACGAACCTCAATAACGTAAGTTTTTATCGTTTTTTAAAAAAAACCATTTTCTACAACTAATTTCGAGGATGATTTACTAACAGTCGCACTTTATTTCAGTTTTTCCTGATGATGAAAATAAACATTTTCGAAAGCTTGAAACTTAGTTAAAAGAGTACACTTATTTCACCGCTGAATAAATCCCAATAAACCTCAAAGCTCCGTTTTCTAACGTTGTCAGCAAAGACTTCTTTTCCTTTTCTTTTTTAAGGCATGGGATTCTATCGAGACATCGCATATCGTTATGGTGACCCCGCAGTACGAGCACTCAAAGATTGGGCTAAGACCAAACATAAACTTGCAAGAGAATACAACAAGAGGTGTTTTCTATTACGCTGTAGATCATCCAACATCACACCTTCACACATTACACATTCCACTTCATCCATCACTAAATTGTTGCAAAGACAGGACATCCAGTCGAACAAGGACACTTTACAATTTACCAGGTTAGAAAACAGAATCTTGAACTTAGAAATTTCTAATTGTATTAAAGTCATTAACAGTTTAGAGTCCAACTTAACTAAATCAAAAAGAAACATCATTGAACTAACTTCTGAATTCATTTTTAATAACTTTTCTAGTAAACAACAAGTATCATATAACAGAATTTTTCACAAAACCAAATTAAGTAACACTAACAAATATAATAGGCTATTCAATCTTGAGCTGAACTTAAAACTTAAGACAAAACCGGGTTGGATTAAGAACCTTTCCAATGTAACTTTACCAGATGATATCTCTAGATTTTTGTCTTTGGGTCCTAAGTTCAGCATAGAACCAATCTTAGGGAAAGATATCCCTATTAAGGATATGTTAGCTGACGTTGAAACAATCTTACATTCTGTCACTGATGTGCATCAGAGGGACATACTTATAGCTAGGTCAACATACATTATTACTGATTACTTACATAAAAACAGTAACAAAAATAACTTTAACTTTTTCAGAGCTATGTTACAAAAAACTCGCAAGTTTCTTAGTGAAAACACTAACATCATTGTCATGCCTTCAGACAAATGTAATGTAACTGTAGTTCTGGAAAAGCAGAGATATCTAGATCTATGTCTTGAATTGCTAAATTCCGATAATGTTTATGAAAGGTTGAACAGAGATCCAACCAACAATGTTCAAACCAGATGTAACAACCTCATTAAGGAATTGTGTAACTCAAGGCAGATAGATGAAGCTACAAAGAAAAAACTAACTAGCTACAAGGGTGTTATACCTAAATTTTACGCTCTGCCCAAAATTCACAAACCACAGCTTGCAGTTCGTCCCATTGTTGCATGTATTGGTGCCCCCACCAACTTATTAGCATCTTTTTTAACTGAAATCTTATCCAACGCATATGTGTCAAATGAATATTACATAAAAAACTCGTTTGATGTTTTCAATAACTTTAACAAACTATCAATTACCTGATGGCTATGTGATTGTCAGTCTGGATGTAGTTTCATTATTCACCAATGTTCACTTAGATGCAGCTTTAACAGCGATTGAAAACAATTGGAATTTTATCAGTTCTCACTGTAATATCAACTTGGAGTACTTCAAAAAACTCATATCTTTTCTGTTTAATAACACCTATTTCACATTCAACAATACTGTGTTTAAACAAACACAAGGAACTCCTATGGGAGCTACTATCTCTCCCATTTTGGCCTGCTATGTGATGGATCATCTATTAGATATGGTTATCCCAGAATTGTCCTTTCATATTCCTTTTGTAAAAAAGTATGTGGATGACTTAATCCTAGCTATCCCCAGCAATGGATCCACAGAAATCTTAAATGTATTCAATAGGTATGATCCTCTACTACAGTTCACAATCGAACATGAGGACGATCTATGCTCAGTCCCCTTTCTTGACACCCGGTTCATTAGAACCCCAAATAACTCCCTTGTTATCGACTGGCATAGAAAACCTCATAGTTCTGGACGCTTCCTCAACTATTGGTCATACCATAGACATTCAATCAAAATCAACCTACTTAAACAAATGAAGGCTAGAATCATTTCCATCAGTGACCCTTCTTTCCACCAGAAGAACCTGAGAATCCTGTTCAACCTTTTCATGGACAATTCATATCCAAAACCCTTAGTCACCAAAATTCTATTTAGTTTGACCCCTAACATAACACGCCGAAATGATGAGATACAAATCAATGCCACAAATGGAGAACATAATACCAATTGCTCATATACCTCACTGAAATACATAAAAAGCATAACACCCAGACTAAAGACTTTTAAGATGCACCAATTGAATAGTTATAAAACTTCATTACTGTAGATCTCTTCTAAGTAAAGATAAAAGTACTCAAGATGTGCAACGTTGCTACCAGATCCCTTGCAACAACTGCAATTTAGTATATGTGGGACAAACCACACGCAACCTAGGCAGTCGCCTAATCAGTCATCGTTAGCGACAGTAGATTATACCAGAAAGATCTGCACTGGCAGAACATGTAAATAAAGAACATCATATTATGAATTACGATTCAGTTAAAATTTTAGCTACGGAGTCAATTACAATAAAAGACTCTTTTTAGAAATGGCATTCATTGCACAAAACTCAAATGCAATGAACAAAGGAGTGACATTAATCAATTGAGCACTATATACTCTACCTATTATATTTGGATGGATCATCACAATTCAATGATGTTTCAATGACTGATTCATTGTAAAGTTTCCAGGTTTCGTTATATTTTTTCACAGTTCTTTATTAAATTCTGTTTTTTCTAATACAACCTTTGTCAATAATTTGATGTGTAATAATAGTAGTACTACATAAGACAAAGAAATAAGAAGAAGTACTGTCATTTGCCATGTCCAGGAATGACAGTTACTCTTAACCTTTCATTCAACAGTTGGCCGGCACACGTGGCCGTTGTAAACTTTTTTAACTGTCTTTTTCTTATGTGTTAAGTATAATAATTAAGTTGTCTTATACACCATGCAATTTTTATATGTGTTAAATATTTTAAAATTTGACTCAATCAATGAGTGGTGCGTAAAATTGTCACCTGTAAGTGAAACATCCACGAAAGACGAACCTCAATAACGTAAGTTTTTTATCGTTTTTTAAAAAAACCATTTTCTACAACTAATTTCGAGGATGATTTACTAACAGTCGCACTTTATTTTCAGTTTTTCCTGATGATGAAAATAAACATTTTCGAAAGCTTGAAACTTAGTTAAAAGAGTACACTTATTTCACCGCTGAATAAATCCCAATAAACCTCAAAGCTATATATAAATATATATATTCATGAATTTTTTTCAGATTTTTTTTAAAGCAAGCATTTTTTGCGATAGGGATCCCTGCGGAGTTAAAAATTTCGCTTAAGGTGTTTATAACATATACGTTTAAATTCCTAATGCCAAATAAGAATCCAGCCAAGGGATCGTCTCTGGAGTATAATGGAAAATATGCGAGCGATAACCTAACCAGCTAGTTTACCTAATAAGAAATCTGTCTGACAAAAATTCAACCAAAGTTAAAATGCACGGAATATATTCAGACGCGTTCAAAATAAAGAAAGAAACTAGACAGGGCTGCATACTATCACCATTATACAACATATATTCTGAATATATAATGAGAAAAGTACTAGTCAAATGGAATGGAGGAATCACCATAGAAGGCAGAAAAATCAGAAACCTGCGATACGCAGATGACACATTTATACCAGCAGCGAATGAAGTCGAAATGATTACCATCACTGAACGGCTAAGCCGGGTAGGCGAAGAATTCGACCTTCGTATCAACACCGGAAAAACAAAAATAATGATCGTAGAAGGAGCAAATAATAATCTACCGCATATACACCAAGTGGCAAAATTTCGATGTGGTATACAGATAACCAACTGATAACCAACAATGGCGATTGCTCCTCCTCAGAAATCAAGCGTTAGACTAGCAATGGCCTAAACCGCAACAGCTAAATTGATTAAAATATAAAAAGCCCGAACAAAAACCAGGAACACGAAGCTAAGATTAGTCAATGCCCTTATTTTCCCATTGCTACACATGTAGCTGAAACATGGGAAAAAAATCGATAGGAGTAAGATCGAAGCCTTCGAAATGTGGATTTATAGAAGAATTCTGCGCGTGTCCTGGTCAGAACATAGAATCAACCTGTCAATTCTGAAAGAGCTTCATATAAAAGAATACCTAATTTACTTAGGTCACATAACTAGCAGAAACGGGGATCATGGAACTGTTAGTAGTAGAAGGAAAGATAGAAGGCCGAAGACCAAGAGAAAGATCTCCAACACGATGGGCACACCAAATGAAGACTGGTCGGAAAATGAAGCCGTCCATATGGCACAGTATTATACTGTATTTGATAATATACAAGGCAAATATGGAGCACCAGTATTAATTTAATCTTGCCCAAGTACTTACGATCACTAGATCATCTTCAGGGACATTTCGTCAATTGCGGTCTATCGACAAGAGTAGAATGTCTATAAATTAAATGGAACATCACAATACTACACAAGACAAACAAACACTTTAAAATTTTGAAAATAGGCGAAGCTACATGGTGTATAGAAGCCTGGTGTCTATTCTATTCTGTTCCATTTTATATTTATGACATTTTACTCTTGTCGGATAGGCCGCAATTGACCAAATGCCCCTGAACATGATCTAGTGATCGAAAGTACTTGGGCAAGATTAAATTAATACTGTGCTCGATAGTTGCTTTGTATATTATCAAAGTTCATTTATTCGAGCATTCAACCTTATATCAATTTACTGTATTGTTAATACTTACTGAAATATAAGACAGGGCAATATAGTATTTACGACCACTAAATTAAGTCTTTTGTCTCTAAAACCAGTCTTCGTGAGTAGTTTAAGGCCTTCAGGCGGAGGATCTTTCTCCGGACTAATATGAACTTGAGAAACATAATTTCCAAATCTAGTTGAGAAATTATAAACCACTTTGTTAGTTTTCACATCTATCTTCATTAATTTGATGTAACCACACTCACAAGCGAATGCAGTTATTCGTCTGAAAAATAAAAGAAGACACTCTATAAAAAAATATAAGTCATCACATATACGACTAAAGAATAATGTAAACAAGATAAGTACGATTCATCATAAGTTCATTATGTTCAGTTTATTTGTTAAAACAAACGGTTCTTTTACATTTTCATCAAAATCTAACGTTTCATTTACAGAAACATACAGTACCCGCCACGCTAGTAGACACACGGGCACATTGAGCTGATACAATCCTGGGCCGAAACACTTGTTTCACTGTTTATGCCGAAAAGTGGACAGATGAGAAAAGTAAACAATGAGACTAGCAAAACTTGCTTAGTTAGTTTAATTTAGTTTAATTCAGGTCGAGTATTTGTAAAAAAAGAGTTCTATGGATATGTTTTGTTTTGATATTATTTTACTCATTAAACCTATCAGCAAAACAATTCTAATTTAATATAATTATTGTAACTTCATAAAAGGCGTGAAATATTAATGATACTTCAAAAGTGTGTATTTTAAAATAGGTGTACATTATACTATTTTAATAAAAAAAACATGTTTTCGAGGTGATTTATTTTATACCAAATTGCAAGTAATTAATCAAAAAAAATATGAAAAGTTTATTTTTTAAAACAAAACAACGAAATTCTTCCAAACTAAAAATATAATTCAAGAAATATAAAATAATACATAAATATAAATAAAATAATACAAACAAAATATTTACAAAACATGCTCAAAAAGTCCACCCTCCTGGGCAAGGCAGTAACCCAAACGGTCATAAAAACTTGACCGTACATTAGCAAGCATGTTAGGGCTAATATTTTGGAATGCACGTTCAATTTTTAATTTAAGTTCTTCCAAATTACTAGCTCTGTCATGACCATAAATAGATGATTTGACATGTCCCCATAAGAAAAAATCATTGGGTGACAGTTCCGGTAATCTCGCTGGCCACAAGATAGTTCCTTGTCTTCCGCATATTAGACGATTTGGGAAGGTAATATCTAAATATTGCCGCACCAAAGCATTGTTATGTGCAGGGCACCCGTCATGTTGGAACCAGATGTCATCAAATCTGTCGCCAGCGATTCTATGATTTCCGGAACAATTTGCTGCTGTAGTAGGTCCAAATACTTTGCTCCAGTTAGGTTTCCGTCTATAAAGAATGGTCCAATTATTATCTCCCAAAATTCCACCCCATACGTTTAACTTTCGGGGATACTGTGTACGCACTTCGAAAAAACGATGTAGATTTTCCCGAGACCAATAACGTACGTGGAATGAATTATGACGATTTAGTACTGGAAATGTCGATTCATCCGTAAAAACAATATTGTTGGGAAAATTATCGTCATGGTTAGCCTTTTCCATTACCGTTTCACAAAACTCCATGCGTCGAATATTGTCCTCAGGAAATATTTCATGACTTTTTTTGATTTTATATGATCGATAACGATTTTTCTTCAAAACTCTTCTAACTGTAATAGCACTTGTGCCTACTACCTCAGCAACTTCATTGCAAGACATTGTAGGATTTTCATTGACACACGCACAAATCATCACTTGTTTCTGTTCCTGATTTTCATCAAAAACAGGATTACGCTTGTGACTACGAGGGTTGACGCATCCTGACTTTCAAAATTATTGACTACACGCGATACCGTTTTTAATGCAGGAGTTGGACGGTTTTCAAATGCACCGGCAAATAATTCCTGTATTTGTCGAAGCGTATTACCTTGGTAATACCATTTGACAATTTGAACTTTTTCCTCAGTTGAATATTCCATAATTAAAAATATATTTTTTTCAATGGAAAAAACAATAGTTTCAACAATTCTGAATAGTTTCGCTACCCACTTGATTCTCCGCAGAAATCAGTCATAAATGAAATGCCATACGCCGCTATCTGTGATCGACAACCGACGGCTGAAGTCACATGTGAGAGCGGGCCGGATTAGCCCAGTGGATCAAATAAGCCAAGCAATTAGGTACCCATGTGTCTAGTGCGTGGCGCTGTATAACAGACATTTTTGATTGAAAATTACGGGATTATTATATAATCTTAGTTATGCATCTAAAAGGCATTAAACAACATAGTATTGCGTAATATTTCAGTGTATTATCTACAAATATACAAATTCAAAGTATGTTGATAAATTCTATTGCATATTATAGAATGAATAAACGAAAGAAGACTACCAGATTTATTTGAACATCTAAACATCTATCTGCCAACCAATTTCAACCAATGGAAACCAACTGTTTACCTTTAATGAAAACGAATATACTCAAAACCGTTTGCAATATTTTTAAAATGCATCGTTTATATATCAAATAACTACAACAGTAAGGTGAACAAAATATTCTGGCTATGCTGATGATCTGGTCATCATAGACCAAGGCAATTTTAATGACTCAGTTCCACCGTTAATATATCTCCCAGAAGTCCAAAATCATAAAGTTTACCAGAAGGATAAATTTAGAGGGATTCTTCTTCTAAAGGTGCCTATCTTTTAGTAATGTTAGCGCCCGCATTGACCGAAATTGATCGAAATTAATCAGTTGACGTTAGACCAGTTCATTTCCTAAGATTGGCCAGCCAGGATACACGTCTACATCCAGGGCTTCTCTTGCCCTCAATATTGCGTTGTAGAATCAACTGTAGAAGTCGGTATTTACTATTACTCATAATGTAGTCGAAGTAAGTCAATTGTTCTGTTCCTTTATGGTGGTTAATAATTTCTTCACTTTCTTAGCCTCTGGAGAATAGGTATGTTAGTTGCTCGTGGTGTATATATGAGGGACCACTTAATATAAGTAGGGTAACATTACAATTTCCATAATGTCTCACTAATCGGGTTTTTTATGGCATCTTCTGGTAAGACTCCAGCTTTCTACTTCGTAGGAGGGACACTAAAGGACGTAACATTCTAACAAATCTTATGCGCATATCAACTACCTAAAAGATAAGTTGCAGATAATCTTCTAAGGGACCGTTAAATAAGTAGCTTCTGTCCTGTTTCAATATGAGTTTTTTATTTCATAGCTATGATCCCAGGATTCCTTAATATTGCAGCCCAAATTAGGGATGTGTAGTTCACCATCGAATAGTTCTAATGAACGATTCTTTCAACTGAACTAATTTGAACTAGTTCATTAATTTTCATAGAAACTAGTTCACTGCGAACGATTTGCATTATAAATTAGAATTATATTATATTATTTTGTGAATGGATGGACTAACTAGTTTAAAAAAAATGCGATTAGCCTCAGATAACAGATTCATAATTCTTATGAATGTGACAATAACATTAAGTCTTATTTAATGGTCATAATGGTTCGGATCTTATGCCATGTCACAGAATAATAACAATCAGAATGCCCACCCTCAAATGCGCCTTTGAAGTTTTTCAGCCGCCGTCATGTTTTAGAAGGAAACACATAACACAGACATATGATTTGTGAGGTTATGTAATGGTTTATATTTATGTTGAAATTATATTATATTTATGTTATTATATTTAACGATTGTTAATATAATTGTATAGGTATGTCTATGATTGCCGTAAGTCAATTAAACCGGGTTAATTTTTCTATGCACACCACATAAACTATAGTGGTTCCCTTTAAAACATGGCGAACGTCTGCGCGAACGAGATTTGCGTACTCATTTTCCATGGAGAGTGGGCATTCTGATTGTTTATTATTCTGTGCCCATGTATTGGCTTGGATGTTGCCATGCTGTGTTGTTTCTTGTATTGTAAATTTTGAAATAAAAAATTTAGTTGTGGTTAAAATGATTGAGGCATTTACATAAAATTATAATTTTATGTAAAAGTGAGAATGAAAATGTATTATTTAATGTTCCTAGAAAATTCACTGATTTTTTTTGTAAAGGTTCTTTTAGAAATAACTAATTATAAATACCTATGAGTTTAAATATACGTAAAATATAAAAATAAATCATACTTGAACTATATTATTATTGTATATTAAAAACGGTTAATAAAAAAGAAATCTTAATAATTTTTTGCAAATAAAAACTAACTAATCATATAATAATTTAAACCATTTAAACCTAAACATACGATCGAAAGAAATAGTTCCAAACTATTTGTAGGGTAGTGAACTAAGTGAACTAGTGAAAGACTGAAAGAAACGGCGGCTGGCGCCGAGCTTGTGTATGATTGAGACGAGACATCTGGCAACAGTTCTGTTAGGGTTGGATTTCGATGTCGGTCCTACCAAATAGTTCTTTCGCGAACTAGTTCACTGAACTAGTTCATTTTTGTGAAATAGTTCTGTTGAACTAGTTCGTCTAAAAGAACTAATAAGCACACTCTAGCCCAAATTAGCTTATTTTCTCCACTCTTTCTACCGGTATCTCGTTTATTGTAATTTGGGCGTTTATATTGGTATTTTCTTATAATGATCATTAGTTTGTTTTTTTTTATAATAATTTAGTTTTAAGAGCGTAAGTGCAACCCTTTGGGCTCAATGCTTTTTAAATGTAATTATTTTTTTCGAATCTTGAGAAAACTAATAAATATTTTTAAAAAATTTAAAGCAGAATGAAAGATTACATTATTACCGAGGGCCGAAAGTCCCTTAGAATAAACAAAAAGTTTTTTTGAATGAGATATTTGAAATTAAAAATGACACTAAATTTTCACTTCTTTTTCACCCCTGTAACTCATTAAAATAAACATTATAGAAGTTTTCAGGGACTTTCGGCCCTCAGTAATAATATAATCTTTCATTCTGCGTTTAATTTTTTCAAAAATACTTATTAGTTTTTCTAGGATTCGAAAAAAATGAATGCATTTAAAATCACATGTTCGATTATTGACCTTCAGTCAATTTAATCTTAGTAAATTTGCTGTTGTAACCATGCATTTTATCTTTTTTGGGTTAAATTTTCTGGGGGTTATATTAAATTGATGCAGCATACGTTGTAAATCATCGTCACTTTGAGAGAAGTATTGCGTCGTCTGCATAGCTAATTATTTTAAGATGTTT